ACTAACATCATAGAGGCACTTCGACCTGCGTCAAAACATCCTCAATAATATCCTCGACCGTCATCCCTTCCAGCATCTCCCTCACAGCTCTGATGTCACTCCCCCACTGCATACTGCGCTCATTCTCCGGCGTCGTGATAAGTATCCTATGCGGATAAACCTTGCGAGTCGCAAGCGCAACCAGCGATGGCGGCACGTATGAGAGATCGTGCAATGGCGCAAGAGCCCTTGTTGGAGGTCAGCGGGGCCTTGTAATGTTTTACAACGTTAAACAGAAACCGGCTCGGCGTACTTTACTAACTGGTGGAAGTGCCTTGTAGCAATCGCAGAGATACCTCCGGCGATCGCACGGTGCATCCGCATGAAGACGACGATGTTGTGGAGATATGCACGCACTTCAGGACTTACACGGACAGTTGCCGCGGCAGATTTCAGTGCTTCGGTGTCCTATGTTGGCGTGAGACTCTTCATGCTTGGATTCAGGATGCCTGCTGCTGGTTCCATACCTCAGCCGAGACGAACGGCTCTTTTGATGGCCTAGAATACGCCAAAGGCCCACCTGCCTCTGGTAAACTGTGAAGGACAGAAGACAATGATGCGTTGTCGCTTGTGGTTCGGTTGCTCATATGCTGCTCCAGGTTCGGCAACCCGTCCTCGGTGGCGTGGATATGTGAGATGCTGAAGTGGTCGTTCTACGATCAAGAGTCAGCTCCTGCTCTCAGTCGGCGAACTTGCGATGGCGATGTACCAGATGGACGGTGAGCCTTGCCTCCGGCTCAGATGAAAGGAGAGCGATGAAGAGGAAGTGTTTTGGCGCCTCATAAACGGACCTCCTCGTAGTAACACTCCTATTACGGATGAGCTGAACGAGCCAAGTCAGCATTGGTTTTGACGTATCGTAATAATTGCAGAGCCGGAATACCTCAAGAGCCTGTATCTGAACCTGATGGTCTGCCGCATTCAAGTTTTTGGCAATAACCACGTTCGCAATTCCTCGTCCATCAGACCCATGGTCAACATCAGGCGTAGAGCGTTTCTCGTGTACTCCAGGGTAGCCCCGCTTTTTAGAAGGGGAATAGTACTGCGTGGACGATGTCAGCATATGTTGTTACTAACGTCGTGAAGCCCTCGACATGAAATTAAACCCTCGTAGTGTACACGTCCCGCATGATGTTCGACGAAGGCCTGTGGTAAAACATGGTTCGAATGGAGCTCTAACATCTTCTCCAAGCTGCTCCAGAGCATAGCCCTGGGGTCCCTTTGGGTCATCTACAAGGACGCCATTGACGAATTCGTCGAGAGTAGTATTCTCGGAGCAATCGAGCACCACATAGGATAGTCCAAAGACTTGGTTAGACACCTACAGGCTGGTCAGAAGGAAACAGTGACAGACATGTCCCTGCTTTGTGCTTACGAGCCGCAGCTCCTGGTCAAGAGCATGCTCCAAGTTCTTCTCAGTGCGGATTATGCAGTGTTGATCGGTGATGAGACAAACTATAACGGCGAGTTCTAGGTCACCAAGGCCCTGGATCTTTGCCGTGATGTCGGCACTAGCACTGTCCATAGGCTTGCGTGTGACCGATTACATGTTCATTGAGCACAGTAGTGTCGTGGCCTTCGCCGTGATGGTTGATAGATGGTAAGGAGTCACGTGGAATATCAGTTTGCGGAGATCTGCAGGTCTGCAACCATTCTTGCATTATTAGCTACAGCGGTCCACACCGCATTCTATGATGCCACCTATGAAGATACTGCAACAAGCTGCGAGTACTTGCTCTAAGAAAATTCCACTCTGTGTGGCTCAGTCATCGTGGCTCAGTCAATGTGGCTCAGTCAATGTGGCTCAGCTTCGGCTCAACAATCAGGCTCGCCCTGCCAACGCGTGGCCTTTAGCGCAGCCTTGTACCTACCTTACCGCAAGCTGGCGATCTATTTACCTTCCAGGTTGCGAGCGACGCTCGGAAACGCGGCACTGCAGCTGGCGTGTTTGAAGATTCACCATTCTTGATTCTGCCCTGTTAAAAGTTAATTAATCAGGCTTGCTAAGAATAGCGTGCCGCCGTTGCCCGTTGCCCGTTGCCCGTTGCCCGTTGCTCGAACTGACGTCAGGGCCCCTGCAATCCCCGGGTCAACATTGGGAAACAGGGCTGCCGGAGTGCCAGAGTAACGTACCTGATCGGCATGCCAGAACTCAGAACTGGACGTCAACCCAAGACCCCCCATCACCTTAACAACCCGCTTTCCTGTCCCCTTTCCAACATATCGAACCATCCACCCATACCACCAGCCTCTGCAACCCTCAGCCCTAACCGCCGAACTTATCTGAACTTCAGATAGACCAGCTGCTCGACTTGTTGCGACAGAAAACGACTCCCTTCGCCCCGCCACGTCCCGAATCCAACTCAACCATCGCCATGGTCACGCCACTGAGAGAAGGCCAAGAGCTCCTTGGTGAAAGCGGCGACTCATACTTGACCGTCAGCCCTTTGGGCAACCCCCAACCCGGCACAACTTCGAACGTCTGGACCGCCGTTGATGCCGAAACGAACGGAAACGTCTTCATTCTCAAGCAGCCGGCGGCCAACGACTACTTCGGCAGGTCCTGGCCCAAATTCCAGACTGAGATGGTCATGCACGAGCTATTCAAAGACTGTCGTTACATCCGCCGTCAGATTGACAGAATACCGCCGCCGAGGAACTCGCCAGATCCACCCAGGCTCGTCCTGGAACCGACCGAATGCACTCTGACGGATGCGCGGGAACTACGTCCACTCACGGATGGAGAGATCAAAACGATCATGAAACACGTCCTCCTTGGTCTCAAAGAAATACACTCGAAGGGCTTGGTATACGCAGGTAAAGCCTCAAATCTCGTGCTTCGGGCGTTCACTGACCACCTGTGCCAGATCTGAAGATGGACAACATCTTTGTCAACGGCATGCGTGAGACGGCCCGAGAGACCACGGACCAGCACTCTCTCATTGCGATGATTGGCGATCTCGGAATTGTTATGGAACCTGCTCATGGAAAAGTCCAGCCTTTAGCATACCGCAGCCCCGAGGTCCACTTCAAGAGCATCATCACTCCAGCCGCAGACATATGGTCCTGGGGCATTATCTATGTCCACTTGCTCCAAGCCCAAGCAAAGTTCGGTCAACGTGGGATTTACGAGAACGTCTCTGGAATGCCAGCTGTGGATGCGGAACAGAAGATACGCCGCGATATGGCTGATGACTTTGAACTCGACTCTGTCGAATTCTATCGCGATTGCGTGCTCCCCACTGGTCACAGTCACAGTGATGACGAGATCTGGTCGGCAAGACTTCTCAACATGGGCGCGCCGGAAAATGCAGTCCGGTTTCTTGCTTGGGTCCTCAACCCAGATCCCGAGAAGCGGCCGACGGCAGCTGAGATCCTTCAGCAACCTTGGTTCGGTGGCAGTGGCAAGGCTTTCAACTTCACCGCAGCGCTACGGAGACCGATCATTCGCCCTACTGTTTCAACGCTCGGCAGAACAACAAGCGGCATGCCCACGACTGGGTATACTCCACGAATCTCAGACGACTACATGCGCCGGATTGCCTTGGACAGAAGCGCTTCGTCTTATGCGCCCAGTCCCGCCGCGACCCCTCAATCGGTACACGAGAGTAGACCCTCCATGCAGACGTCCTCTTCTTCGTACTTCGGCAGACCCACCTTCTCAACCTCCTCCAGCACGATGTCAATCCCTTCGAAAGAGGAGATGGAGGCTGGGCGTCCAGAGTCCATGAAGCCCGCGTGGTCGTACAAACGGGCACACTCTGCGTATGATCAGTATGCCCCCGAGCATATGCGGCCCGCGCCTGCGGAGCATGTGGCCTCGCACACGGAACCGTATGTCGCGGGCGGAACGAAGCCAGCCGAATCGGCACGGCCTGCTCCGCAACAGAGACCGAGCCAGCTCTGGAACACTCGGTTACTCGACATACTTCAGGACAATAAATGAAGTCTCTTGCGTTTCTGAAGTTCGGCTGGCTGTATGTTTTCATTGGTTTGGATGTTGTTACGGCTCATCGGCGACTGGCAGAGCTCGCACTCGGGCGTGTGCCCATGATCCTCTTATGGCGGGGGATTATGCAATCCTCTAGGACTTACGAGCATTGATCCCTCACGGAGCGACTACTCTGTGAGTTCGCCGCAGGTTGGCACTCCCTGTTGGGCTATTGTTGGCCTGGAAAATGATGGAACGGACAGTATACACGGAGCATAGCGGCAATAGATAAAGGAACGAAGAACCGCGGGGCTGCGTACGACACACCAAAGCACTGCGCACGCTAGAACTGCAACACTCTCTGCAAACACTTGCATATCTGGACAAACGGATGGTGTTCACTGTAATGGGACATCAATCTTTCGAGCTTGAAGTCTATCAATACTGTAAACCAGGCATGCGTACTATATGACAGCTCACCATCTTTCCCTAGCTAATTTCAAGCAATGGCTTTGTGACTGAATTGATCCAGCTTTGTATCACCTCCACAGATGCCGACCCCCTCTCGGTAGAGCATCAAAGACCAACACTCAACCACGTGGTCTTGGGGTTGAGGCGCGAGGCGCCGCGGAACTGCCCCGCACCCAAACCCCACCTCACCGGCTTGTCTGAAGACCGACCGCCCCATCGGCATCGCACCTAGCACAATGTGGACTGGTGGAGCTGAGCTGGCAGTAAGTACAGTAAATCATCATGGCATTCCCACCTCTACCCGCCGGCGCCTCCTACCTCCGCCTCCAGAATTCTGCTCGCCGCAACGCCCTGTCCCTCTCCATCCTTCGCTCTCTCCGGCAACAGCTCGTCGACTTCAACACCTCGCCGTCTGGGAAATTGCACATACTGCCTCCCTTCAAGCCCGAGATTCTGTCGAAACTTGAGGCTGGAGATGAAGAGTATGCGTGGTTGCTTGACGCCGAGATCTGGAGTAAAGAGAGGCAGGGACTCCCTAAAGTGCTCGTGCTGCGCAGCGAGGGGCCTGTTTTCTGCTCTGGTCATGACTTAGGAGAGCTGCGCAAGTTAGGCCATGATGAAACAAAAGAGACCTTTGCATTGTGCGCCGAGGTGATGGGGTTGATAAGGCGGAGTCCCGCGCCCGTGATAGGCGTCATACAAGGTTGGCGCGCAGTTCACCGAAACCTTGATGTACGGACAATCGGTCTCACGACACACAGGCCTCGCAACAGCAGCAGGCTGCCAACTAGCTCTAACAACCGACTTCCCAATCGCCCTCGCCTCAACGCCTTTCCGTCTCCCCGGTGCATCCATCGGGCTTCCCTGCACCTCTCCCTCGACAGCCGTAGCCCGTCGCCTCCACCCCGGCCAAGCATACCGTATGCTCGCCATGGCGGAGCCCGTGCGCGCCGACCAGCTAAACGGCGCCGTCGACGTTGTCTCCGAGCCTAAGCTAGATGCGCCGCTGGAAGTGCATTCAGCGGCTCTCGAAGCGCGCGTTGCGCAGGTCGTGGAGCAGCTTGCGGGTAGGACTGCGGGGCAGCCTGCAGCGTTGGGCAAGTGGGCATTCTGGACGCATGTGGGGCTCCAGGGCGCGGGGACTGAGGGAGGGGGCGATGGGTACGAGGATGCTGTGAAGTGGACTGGTAGGGTCATGGCGGTGCATGCGAGGGCTGGAGATGCGAAGGAGGGTGTAAATGCTTTTTTTGAGAAGAGGAAACCGGAGTGGAAGACATGAATGAGGGAGCAGTGTGAGTCTGGTTGCGAGCACTGAAGGAGGCTCACAGAATTGCGCCGATCGGCTTCAGCTGGAAAGGCGGGCTTACGGGTGCATGAGTCGGCCATGCTACTCGATGGGGGTACGATAAACAGAAGGTTTCGTCTCCGAGGTTTGATTTGGATTTGCTCTGAGTGTGAGTTGCCCCTCACGCTGCAACACTTTAATATCAACAGCTTTCGATATAATGCTCTTGATCATTTCAACTACTCCTGACGCTCAAATTCAACAGCCCCAATGCTAGACGAATCAAGCATAATCGCCTCATGCGGGCCAGGGCCAAACTGGACCCATCTTCCATCTAAGCCGGCTCCATCGCCATCTGTATGGAGGACCTGCTACTTTGTGTCATAGCTCCCACCACCGAATGATATCTCACGGTACCCGTGACTTACTAGAGAGGCTCAACGCGTATTTGTATCCGGGCTTAAGACCGTCAACACCGCAAGCACCGTATTTGGCTGAGTAGTCACTCTCGTAGTCTGGGTCATGCGTGGCTAGACGTTTGCCGCCATTACTCATACGGCTGCGGGTGAAAGGCGCGGAAAGAGTCAGTGAGGTGTGGGGGAGAAGAGTACGGAACAGATGCTCGTTCAGGGGCATGGCGACTTTGGATGGCGGCGGGATACGACAGTTTGTTCGTTTGCTTTATCGAACCTCGCTGCCAGTAGTCACTAGTCAGGTCCGTTATAGTCGGGGTGTCCAGTAAGACGACCGTCCACGTCCGAGGCCTCTAGACAGTCGGACGAGGCAAATTAAGCTTATTAGACGGTCGGACGAGGCTAGGACGAGGTAGAATACCGGCGAGCTAATTTAAGGTCTTAGCGCGGAGGTGAGGCTCGAAAAGGGGTACCGAGGGCTAAAGCGTGTTATGTGATGTAAGGATCAAACAAGATAATAGCTGATTAGCATTACTTAGATAGCAAAGCTAGTCTCACTACTATGCTAAGCCTCGTCCACGTCCGATAAGGTCGTCGCCGATGTTATAACGGTCGGACGAGCCTTAGGGCCATCTTACGGACGGTCTAGATGAGCTCGTCTCGTCCGACCTCGTCTAGACCGTCCTCTCTCCTATTGGACACCCTAGTTATAGTGAGAGTACCGCAGACTAGCATGAGCCTAGGGGAAGGTCGTTGGCATAGATCGTTATAGCATCGCGGTGGTGTGAAGCTATCGTGAGATTCAGGTTGGGCGCTTGCGAGTTGGTGAAGGGGTGCGTCTTTGGGTCGACGGAGAGGGGGACTGAGATCCCTGGTATCGAGTTGTTTTCTATTTTTCTCTACCTTAGGCGTTCCGAGAGGATGATCAGTGCAACTAAACTGCATCTAGGGGCTTTCAGTGTTGAGGTTCGTGCGCGTTTGTAATGAGCAGCAGCTAACTCTTAGACATCTTTGACAGAAAACGGTTAGGGTAGTGCTATGAAGACGACGGCTACAGGAGTTAAAAGGCGCCAGGACATCCAAGCGCCGTTGCCTCAAGTGTAATTGACAACCACACTGTCGTTCTATCACACATCCCAGGAACAGGCAAAGAGAGTGCGACAAGGAAAGTCAAAAGCCACGTTTCTATTCCTGCAAAAGAGATGGGGCTCGGAGCGGGAAGCAATATTGGATGGCAGTTCTCACCTGGCGCCTCTAAGTTAGGTATGCGGATCAAAGTAGGCGACTTTGGCAGACAGCCTTGTCTGATGCGCCAATAAGGTACAGCGGCTACAGTTTGCCTGGAGAAGCCCAAAGATTGGAAAGCACGGGCACATGCTGTGTGATATTGCCAAGGTTACATATACGAATTTGCGGCAAAGGAAGTTCAGGCTTATGTAAAGCTTCTAAACCAGGACGAATGTGAATGCACAGCCTCATCGCACCTGGGGCTGAGTACTTATTATCACCCGCACATCTCATGGACATTCGCTTGATTCTTACCATCGAAAGTCACATACTGCGGCACAACGGATCGATCCAGGTAGAACGAGGCACATGATGGTGAAATTTCGAAATGTTCTTAACGATGCAGACTGTCTCAGCTTCGATATTGCCGCTCAACCAGCATGACAGATATATCTACACATTGCTTGATGGTCACGAACCGCAGATCAGGATTCTAATCCTGCATCCGGCGGCAGATCAAGGAAGTGACATTCATTGCTCGCTAGAGACAATCTCACTGTCAGCTTCGCAGCAGGAAGGCAAGACATACGAAGCATTGTCATATGTTTGGGGCGCATCCAAATGCTCGAACCCAGTTTATATAGACGGTCAGCCACTCGAAGTCACAGGGAATCTGGACTGCGCTCTGCACCATATACGACGTTCGGATGAATGTCTTCGGCTGTGGGTCGATGCGCTGTGTATCAACCAGAATGACAATCAAGAAAAGAGCTTGCAGGTCAATCTCATGCGACATATTTATGCGAAAGCCTCGCAGGTCTTGGTCTGGCTTGGTCCCGGAGACAAAGACACGGATCGTGCTATTGAGTTTATCGCCTCTAAGGTCGAGACATGGGACGATGGACCGCATACGCCATGGCCGGACGAGCTTCTGAGGGAGTTGTTGCCTGGCATGGCGAAGCTTTTCCAGAATACCTGGTGGTCGCGGATGTGGGTCTTTCAAGAGGTCATGCTAGCATCGAACATTCCGCTTGTAATCTGTGGTCGCTCACACATATGGTGGGACTATCTCAATTATGCCCCACTGCGCGCTACACTGGCCTTCCTGTCAAAGCTGAAATCTCATATCGCTCCCGACTTTCTTACAGCTGATTTTGCTGAATCTAATGTTCTGGCCTGGCAACTTATGGAGATTCCGACCACTTACCTTCGAGAGCCAGCGGGAACAACAGCAGAAGTCAGTCTTTACGAAGCTCTCAAAGCTACATGTTGCAGGGAAGCTACAGATCCTAAAGACAAGGTATTCGCTGTCCTTGGCTTGGTATCTGATGATCGTCCGGACTGTATAGTCCCAGATTATACACAGCCAATCTGTCGCATCTATCAAGAGGCGACCACAAAAATATTGGCTTCAGAACACAGTCTAGCGCCTCTGCACGGTGTCATTGCTAGTCCTCGCCGCACAGACCTCCCTTCATGGTGTTTGGACCTTTGCACGAAGCATTGGCAAAGGTCAAGGCGCATTGTTGCGTGGCCTCCTTTCTCTGTAGCCTCTAATGCGCCGGAATTCCAAGCAGATGGTGGTAGAGAGATGGTGGCATTAAATCATGTGCCTGCGGCAAGAACAATCACAATGGATGGACTCAAAGTCTCGGTTATCACGAGCGCGAGACCTTCCTCGGTGGATCCAGACGCCTATGAGTCCTATCGTTCAGCAAAGACAAACGATGCAGAATCTAAAGCTGGCCTCGTTATCGTCAACAACCTGCTTTCAGATGCAGTCATGTTTTGCGAGGACATCGTGGGAACTTTTCCGCATCAAGATGACGTAGAAACTCTCTACACTAAATTCTCCAAGGGAGAGCTCTGGAAGGTTATGAACGCCGGAGAAAAGCTCACAATCTTCAACAATGCAGACTCGACAAACTACAAGTTTTTGGAAGAAATGGCTGCTCCCGAACGGAATGATCTGTACTGGCTGTACGAAATCTTCATGCAGAAGTATACGTCTTACGGCTTGGAGTATATGCCCCCTTGGATGTACTTGACGCCAGACATTGCAGAACCCGAGCTTGAACTATGGGGCGTAGACCAGCTCGATAACACACTGCAGCTGTACGCTGGAACAACCTATTTCACCACAGCGGGTGGACAGTTTGGATCCAGCGCTAGTCCCATTGAGCAGGGCGACCTAGTTTGTATCCTCTTTGGAAGCAAAATCCCTGCCATTCTGCGCGCAGAAAGTGACAGCAAATATCGTCTGGTCTCATTTGCGTATGTGTCGGGGATTATGCACGGGGAGTTCTTGCATGATCAAAGTGGTAAGCCTCGTGGTTCAGAGACATTTGTACTTGTCTAGTTGCGAAATAAACAGACTCGTATATCTATAAGTCATACGCTTTCATCGAACCTTAACCTCGTCTATACTAGATAGTAGTCTCTTTAGTAGGTAGAAAATATACTTCTAGCGAAGATAAGATAAAAGAATAAATTAATAAAGAGTTAAGAGAAGTAGATTAATAATCTAATTCTAGGTGCCGTATTTAGTACTATATATACCTATTTCCTAATACCTTCTCTTAGACTTTAGCTAGAAGGCTAGATCTAATAAAATTAACTATTTAACTTATAACCTCTAAATATTAAAAAGCTAGAGGCAAATTCTAGAGGTAATAGAAATTTATAGATATATACTTATATCTATATAGATGCAAAATCTCTTATAGGCTTTATATAGTATAGAGTCTAATATCTATTTAGCTCTTACGTAATACTTATAATAAACTATTTCAATTAGCTTAAAGAGAAAACTACTATATAAGATTCTCTAAATACAAGATTATAGCTAATTAATAATCTAAACACTTCTTTTCTAAAAATACTAGAAATATTAGTACTAACTATTCTATATTAGAAAAAATTTAGATACTTAGAAAATTAGCTTTAGTCTAATATCTAAGGTGCTCTAAGCGCTCTAGATACGCTCTAAGTAGCTTATAAGTAGCTAAGTACTTAAAGTACTTAGAGTAATTAGGGTGATTATAAATTACTTAGTAAGTAAAAAAGATAAATTATATAAAAAACTTTTAGAGTTCTCTTTCTTGCTTATCTTTTACTCTTCTATAAAAATAGATAAAACTTCTATTTTCATAAAGATAAAGTAAATAATAATTAGTTTTATTGAAAGTTTATCTTCTAAAATAGTTCTATTATACTACTACCCTATTCTACTAGTTAAATTAGACTTAAAGCTTTTTCTTATTTTTTTTTAGTACTAACTAGGTAGAATATAGTATACTAAGCCTATCCTATAAGTATTTTAAGTACTCTAAGTATTTTAATATACTTATAAGATACTTATAAGCGGGTAGAGTTACTTAAAGTCTTTAAGTACTTAGAGTAGACTCTAAACGCTCTAAGTAGCTCTAAGTACTAAAATCTTTTTTCTAATAAAGTATCTAATACTAGAATATAATATAATACTTTACTATAATAAATAGAAGCTAAGTAATAGAATTTAGATATAATTAATACTAAGAATTATATAGTATCTAATTATATTCAGCTGAGATAGAGGGATTGATTAGCTTACTTACTCTAATTAGAAGTTATTAGACTAATTAGAAGTTATTAGACTAATTAGAAGTTATTAGACTAATTATACTAATTATAGTATAGAGATATTGAGAGAATTTCTAGGATATAGAGAAAAAATTCTTACTTATAGAAATATTAAACTTGATTTATATTTTAATAATGTATAAACATAAGTAGTGCTATAGCTAGATAGTAGCTAAAATAGTATAGATTCTATCTACTCTTCTTTTTTTTTTAATCTATAATTTAGTCTTTTATTAGTATTATAATATATCTTTCCTACTATTAAGAGAGATTTATTATTATATTTATCTATATTATACTCTATTCTTCTTTATAAGACTCTATTTTAACTCTAATATTTACCGCTATTATTTATTTCTATTATGTATTACTATCTTAACAATTTCTTCTATTATAATAAATATAGAGTAAAGCTTTAGTCTATCTAATTAGACTTTATCTAGAATTTATTAGAGTAACTACTTTAATATATACTCTAATTTTATTCAGATCTAGCTATCTAGAAATACTTTCTAAAACCTATTTAGATTAGAATAACTAGAATCTAGATAAAATAAATATATCTCCTAGATTGATCTTGAGCTAGAATTTTTTTAGCTATAGTTAGATTAATATTTAGCATTTCTTTATGAGAGATGTATGGGGATTTATATTAGTTATAAAGTTTTAACTATAGATATAATTATATTCAAGATCTAGTAAAAAGCAAAGTTTTATAGTAAAACTTAGAGTATATATCTTTAAATAAAATTACTCTATTTCTATTCTATAAAGAATAGCTAATCTACTAAAGTTACTAGAGTATTATATTATCTAAAGTATTATCTAAATCTAATATTATATTAGTAAAAATAATTATCACCCCTAAGATTTTAGAGCTATCTCCAAGATTTTAGAGATATTAAGCTTATATACTTTTTAAGAGTAGTTTATAAGTAGCTTGCAAGCTACTTATAAGAAGATTACTAGCTTAAACTATCTTATCTATTTTATCTACTTTACATACTAAGCTATATAAAGCTTTTATCTATCTAACTTTATCTATTAAGCTTTATTAAGGTTTGTTTAACTACTACTACTACTTTATGTAGGAGTAGCTTCGCTTATATTATATATTTATAAAGTCCAAAAAATATAAGTTTAGGCTACTTAATTTTTATAAATATAGTTATTTTATCTCTATTAGCTAAAGAGTAAAGATATAAGCGAGAAATAGAACTCTAGATAGTAGCTTTAAGGTAGTTCTAAGAATCTAATAGTAACATCTAATAGCTTAGAGCTAGCTCTAAGTAACTAGAGTTATCTAAACTATATATAAGTATCTTTACAATAGTTAAGCTATAAAATAAAATACTAATATCGTTATTATATAGTATACTATTTACTTGAGTTTAAATATACTTTGTACAAAATTTATTAGAGTTCTATCTATTAATATCTAATAGAGCATTAGCGCTTAGTTAAATGAACAGTATAAGAATAATCTTATATTAGTAGAATATAGGTGTTGTAATCTAGTTTCTCTTATTACTGAAAGTAATTAGAATAGTAATATAGTTACGCCTAAAGTAGTAGTTCTATGATATAGTATAGCTCTATAAGATATATATATATAGATATTATGATAGTAAAGATTAGCTTTATATTAGCTAGTATTAGTGCGTTTAGAAGGAGTAGTTTAGTATTTACTATAGGCTTTAGTACTAATAGTAATATAATTAATATATAAAAAGAACATTTAAAGTACTAAAGATATAGAGCTAGTAGTCACTTTTGAAATACTTCGTATTAGCTCTATAAGAGCCTAAGAAGTTTGATAGTATTACTAAAAGCTTTGTTAGATTTTAGTAATTAAGCATATATCTAGAATATACTTATAGAAGATATAAAAATATAGTATATTAAGGTTAAGAGAGCTTAAGATACTAATAGTAAAAGTAGTATTACTAATAATATGAATTATCTTAGTAGTAGATGTATTACTACTAGTAAGGTTACCTGTTTTAGCGAAATAAAGAGTAAAGTAAATAGATAAATAGTAGATAGCTATAATATTATATATAAATAGTAATACTAATAAGTATTATATATAGGTTACTAGAGTTATAGAGTATCAGGTTCTAGAATACTAATACTCTAATTATTACCTTGTTTAATAAAGATTAATATATTTATTAAAAGTTAATCTCTAAAGTTCTTAGTCTATTACCTGCTAAGGGTTAAAGGCTATAAGACTATAAGGTATTAATACTAAGCCTTAAGTATTAAGTAGTAAAACTAGTTAATTAATAATTAAGTTTACTACTAAAAATTCTACTAGATTCTAAAAGATTCTACTAGACTCTAAAAGATTCTATAAGATTCTAGATAGATAGAATTTATAATATAGATTACTAATTATAAAATAAAAGGTTCTATAGATTAGTAAGATTTAGAGAATTTAGATATGTATAAGTAATAGTGTTTTACTTTAGATAATACTTTAAGTTCTTCAATTAATATATTTCTAATAGATTATAAGTATAGATTAGCTAAGCTAAACGATCTTTACTATTATCTTATACTATCTTATCTATATAAGTGCTTTCTTAGTTAGTAAGCTAATTTACTACCTAAATTAATAAACTTCGAACTATCTTACTATACTTTAGGCTTAT